GGCGATCACACACGCAGTAATCGCTCTCCTCATGGCAACCTCATATCATCCCATCCTCACGCCCTCAATGGCGGTCTCACATCTTTGGACCAGCCAGCGGCTCTATCCAGTTTGTTCTTCCAGGCAGAACTAACGGGGTGCATGAGCTAGTACGTAGGGAACTGGTCCGCGCAGTCGAGGTGCACGACGCGTCGGGGAGGAGTAGTCCCGGCCAACTCCCCCCCTTGTCACACCAACCAACCACTCGGCTAGCTCAGCTCCCTCTGCGCCTTCGAATTCGTGTCGCGTCCGCCCCTCCCCCGCTCTCCCCCTCCCCTCCCCCCCTCCCCCTCCCCCTCCCTCTCCCTCCCCCCTCCCTCTCCCACGACCTCAGTATGACTCAACTACATACAACATGCTCCGAGCTGTGCGACCTGTTATGGGTGCTGTGAGCCGTGCTGCTGGCGCAGTGTGTGGAGGTGTGACTGGCATGGGAGTGGGCATGACGGCGACCAAGACGGGAGCGGTGACGGGAGTAAGGGCAGCAGGTGGTGCTGCGGCTGCTGCTGGGCTCCATACTACGGCACTTCATGACCTTCATGTTGAACTTGGTGGAAAGATGGTGGACTATGCTGGATGGTCCATGCCTGTGGTCTATGACTCGGCTTCGGTCAAGGCCTCCCACCTGCATGTGAGGGAGAAGGCTGGCTTGTTTGACGTCTCACACATGGGCGTCCTCAAGGTGTGTGGTCCTGATCGGGCTGAGTTTATGGAGCGTCTGGTGCCGGGCAACCTCAAGATTCTCAAGGATGGCGCATGCAGGCTCTCGGCCTTTCTCAACGCCGACGGAGGCATCATCGACGACGCCATGTTTCAGCGCTTCGACGGCGGTGGCGACGACGGCGACGACGTGCTGATGGTGGTCGTCAACGCGTCGCGGCTTGACGCTGACCTCTCGCACATCGAGGAGCAACTGGCGCTTGCCGAGGATCTCTCGGTGGCAGTCGAGCCGGTCAAGGGTCACTCGCTGCTGGCGCTGCAAGGCCCCGAGGCTGCTGCCGTCTTCGCCTCGCTGCTCGACACTGCCGACGCAGAGGCCCTGCCCAAGTTCAAGTTTATGACCGGCCGCTCGCTCGAACTGGCCAACGGCATGCCAGTCCACGCCACCCGCTGCGGCTACACCGGCGAGGACGGGTTCGAGATCCTTGTCTCCAACGACTACGCCGAGGACCTTGCTCGCGCCCTGCTCGCCGACAACCGGGTCGCGCCGGCCGGTCTGGGCGCCCGCGACACGCTCCGCCTCGAGGCCGGACTCTGCCTCTGGGGCAACGACATCGACGAGACGACGTCGATTGTCGAGGCCGACCTCTCGTGGTTTGTGGGCAAGCGCCGCAAGGATGAGGCCAACTTTATCGGCGCCGAGCGGACGCTCCGCGAGCTCGCCGACGGCCCGTCGCGCCTCCGCCGCGGCCTTATTGTCGACGGTGCGCCCGTCCGTCAGGGCGCGGTCGTCGTCAATGCCGAGACCGAGGTCGAGGTTGGCGTCGTCACTTCGGGCGCACCGTCGCCCTCGCTCGGCAAGAACATCGCCCAGGCGTACATCGCCACCGACGCCCAGCTGGACAAGCTCGCCATCCGTGGCCGCCGCGCCCTCCAGCCCGCCCACCACGTCCCCATGCCGTTTGTCACCTCCAACTACCACAAAGTGTAGCGTCCTCTGCCTTGTTGCCCCGTAAGCAAACTTTGTTCCTCTCACCGCGCCTCTACATCGCCCTCTTCACCCATGTCTGTCCCCCACCCGCCGTCGCCGCCACCGCCGCTCACCAGTGGCCTGCCACGTCAACGTACCACCACCGCCACCGCCACCGCCACCGCCACCACCACCAGCGTCAGCGTCAGGGCCACCACTTCACCCCATCACGACTCCACCATGAGCGAGAGTACGGCAGCTAAGATTGACGGCAAGGCCATTGCCAAGCAAGTTCGGGAGGAGCTGGCTGGCGAGGTCGGCGAGTGGTTGGCTGGCGGTGAGGGACGCAAGGCGCCGCATCTGGTGGTGGTGGTGGTCGGCGACAGACCGGACTCGCATGCCTATGTCCGCATGAAGATGAAGGCTTGTGCAGAGGTCGGCATTCGCTCGACAAAGATCGAGATGGTGGGTGATGCCCCGCAGGAGGAGGTCATGGCTCAGGTGGCGGCGCTCGATGCCGATGCTGATGTCAACTCGATCCTCGTCCAGCTCCCGCTGCCCGATCACGTGGATGAGGCTGCTGTTCTCGAGTGCATTTCGCTGGAGAAGGACGTCGATGGCTTTGCTCCGGCCAACCTTGGCGCGCTGGCCCTGCGTGGTTACGAGCCAGCCGCTGTGGCCTGCACACCAAAGGGCGTCATGACGCTCCTGGAGCGGTCGGGGGTCGAGATTGAGGGCAAGAACGCTGTCGTCCTCGGCCGGTCGAACATTGTCGGCGTGCCGATGGCGCTCTTGCTTATGGCGGCAAACGCCACCGTCACCATCTGCCACTCGCGGACCGCCGACATCCGCGACCACGTCTCGCGGGCGGACATTGTTGTCGCCGCCGTCGGCCGCCCGGAAATGGTCAAGGGCGAGTGGCTCAAGCCCGGTGCTGTCATCATCGATGTCGGCATGAACAAGAAGGACGATCCGTCGCGCAAGTCGGGCTACCGCTGGGTCGGCGACGTCGACTACGCCTCTGCCTCCACCGTCGCCTCGGCCATCACCCCAGTGCCCGGCGGCGTCGGGCCCATGACCGTCGCCACCCTCCTTTGCAACGCCTTTGCCGCCGCTAAGCGCCAGCATCAGGCTGCTACCGAGACAGAGTAACACGCCATCGGGCGCATCGCATCGCGCCTCCCGCCTTCCAGAGGCGTGCACTTGAGACGTTGTGCTGACGTCGAGGTCAGGACACCCGAGATCAGACCAAAAACAAGTCGTAGGCACGTCGACGACGCCCCCAACGTGCTACGACCTACCCCCCCCCCCCCCCCCCCGCCCTTTTCTCCCTCCCTCCCCCTCCCTTCCCTAAATAAATCATCGAGCCCTCCAGTTTCTTCTTTCACGTGTCGATGGGCCCTTTTTTCTTTCCCTCTGAGCTTTTTTTTCGCCATATGCCGCGTGCGACCACATTCGGCAGCGTCAACAGCGGGCAGGAGGGCGGCGGCGTGAGGGGGTGGGAGTTGGGGGCATCCGTCTCGCAAACGAGAAAATCCAGGATGGCGGAGAACACGCATACGGAGACGGGACGTACCGGAGAGTCCATTGTGGCAGGTGGTGTTGCTGAGGAGGGCCAGGTGATGCCTGGAGCGGCAGGGCAAGATGGGCTTGGTGGTGACGACGGCTTGCCGGGTGTTTCTTCTTCCACTGGCGAATCAAGCAACCATGCCAATGGAGCTGGTGATGGCGACGGCGACGGTGAGGGCGGCGACGGCGGCGGGCCGACGGCTGCTGGTGGCGATGGAGGCGATGATGATGCGGCGAATGATGGCAACGAAGGTGCGGAGAACGAGGCGGAAACTGGTGGAGACCAGCTGCCGGACAACTACAAGCGCTGCGCGGCGACAACGACCGATGAGATGCCGCCGCCGTCGTATGTCACCTTTGCGCGGGTCACGCCGCAGCTTCTGGCCGAACCCGAGTTTCTCATCGGTGAAGGCGTGCGGCTCGTGGAGCACCGCGAGGGTGAGCCGTTCCAACCTCGCTCGCTGGATGAACTCCCGCCGGAGGCTGCTCGCGTGGTGGCCAACCACTTGGCCGACACCCGTAAGGATGTTCTCGCCGACTCGTCCAACCAGCACTTTGTCAAGTCGCTCCACTCTGCGCTCAACACACTGCTGGACTTGCCGGCCTCGCACGCCGACCACGTCCTTGCCGCTCGAGCCGAGCTCCTCCGCACCCTCGCTTCGGCCATCGACATCCGCAAGGCGCCGCGCAAGGCGCAGATGCCACCCGGAGCTGCCAAAGAGCCGCACACTCCGCTGCCACTGGCCGAGCCGTCGGCATCACTCCTGTCGCCGCCCAAACTCACCACGGACGACAGCCTCGACACGCTCACGGTGGCACAGCAGTCGGTCCTCAACATGGGCCTCAACGTCGTGCTCACTCTCCTCAAGACGACGTCGGCAACTGATCCGGGTCTCACCGCCGTCATTCTTGCCTCACTCCGCGACATCCTGACCACGCTCGAGCCGCTTGCGCTCGCATCTCTCGCGTCGTCACCGATGTGGGCCAACGCGCTCACCTGTATCGACGCCTGGCTCGATTTTGTGCTCTCCTCACCGACTACAACGCCAGAGAACCTGCAGCACACGCTGCAGCTCAAGTTTGGCCTTGCTCTCGGACAGGGCTCCCTCGAGCGCTCGCTGCTGGCGGTTCACGCCATCCTGGCGTCGCCGACCCTCAACGCCTCGCTAGCGACCCTCAACTCGAGCCACGTTCTCGACGAGTTCCTCACGCCGCTCGCCAACGCCACCGCTGCCTCGCGCCTCGACTTTCTCAAGTCGGACTACATCCTGGCCATCGGCTCGCGCCCGGCGACCCGCACCTCCCTGACGACCGCGCCGTGGGACGCCGTGCTCGCCTCGAGGGCGTCCGCCATTGCGTGTGACGGTACCTACGTCTACATCCACGACATTCATGGCCTGCACAAGCTCGGCTCTGGCGAGCATGGCACGCTCTACTGCAAGGTGTACGCGTCCAACCCCTCCATCGGCTCCGGTATCGGCACTCGCTCGCAGCTTGTCTACGCCGGCGGCAAGCTTCTGTTCTTCCCGTCGGACGAGACTCGCGCTGCGCTGCCGGAGCCGCTGGCGGCCACGTCGCGGTTGACGTACTTTGAGGTCGACACCGAGAGCCTCGAGCTTGGAGCAAGCGTCGAGCTTCCGCTCGAAGCCGACTCACCACGCCCAGGCCTCATGGGCTGCGAGGACAAGTTGTACGCAGTGGCGCCGACCAAGCTCCTCGCCTCCGAGACCGTGCTCGACGTGACCACGAGCCCGGCGCCCAAGACGGTGGTTGTCCACGAGCTCGACGCTACGGCCGCCGCGCCGACGCTGGTCCGGCGCATTCCGCTCGGGAGGCATACCACTGGCGCGACTTATGTCGGGCCCTCGGTCATGGAGCGCGACTCGTGCTTTGAGGACTCGTCGGCGTCGTCGCCGTGGAACGTCGGGATCGTCCTCGGCTGCCCGATCGAGCGCGACGGGCGGCTCTCTGGCTGGCGGTTCCACTGCCACCGCGCAGGCACGCTCTGGCTCCAGATCTACCGGCCAACCAAGGATCCCGATCTCTACGACCTCGTGTACCAGTCATCGTGCTCTGCAGTTGTGGGCATCAACGGCATCCGCTTCCTCCGCAACCAGTACGTCGACGTCAAGGCCGGCGACTGCATTGGCTTTGCCTCGACCGAAAAGCATCTCATTCTCTCGTACACGCCCAACCATGGGCCAGAGCACTTTATCCGCACCTCTTCGTGCAACTCGCCGGCATCGCTCACCCACGGCGGGACCTACCGGTTCTTTGGCTACGCAACCCACGTTCCGTCGCTCACGGCGCGTATCCTGCCGCCAAAGTCGGCCTCACTCTCGGCCCCGGTCAAGATCGTCACCCCGTGGACCGTTCCCGACAATCTCTGTGCCGAGACCCAAATGTACACCGACGGAGTGGTGCTCATTTTCAACATCCCGTACTACATCGGCATGCCGCTCAACACGTGCGATCCAGGCCTCGCTGTCATGTACGGCATGCTCCTGCAGCCGGGCGACGTGTCGGCGCCCATGGGCGATCCGTACATGTACGCCACGATCTCGCGGTCGGGCTTTTCACGTGAGCACGCCGTCGCCTACGATCCAATCAACTCACTGCTGTGGCGGTACAATGCGGCTACGCTCTCGGTCTACAAGCACATTGCGCTGCGGGCGACGCCGACCGCCACCGGCTCGGGCATCCCGGACATTACCAACCGCAGCAATTTTGTTCCGGCCGCCCGCGAGCGCGGGCTCACCTCGACCCAGCTCCTTGCCGCTAACGTGGCGCAGCTCCAGGCCGAGCCGTCGACCTCACTCGCGACCCATCTTGCTGCCGAGGTGCTCGCCCACGTTGCGTACGCCTCGTTCATGTCGTCGATCAACGAGAACCAGGCGTACATCTCGTCGACGCTTGACCTGATTCCGTCGCCGCCGACGGCGTTTGCGGTCGACAAGCCGCGGGCCGTCCGTGCGCTTCTCACCGCGCTTGTCGCACCGGGAGCCGACGGTTCGCCACCGGCCTCATACGCGCTCGTCCACTCGGCGCTCTCGCTCCTCGCCCAGCACACAGGGACACTTGTTGCGCTTGTCGAGGCGCCCGAGCTCAGCGAGGACGAGTCGGACACGACCACGCCGCCGCCGGACCCCGAGGCTGACAAGGACGCCATCGCCGCACTCGTCGCCGCCGTTCTTCCGTGGACCGATCCGGCCGGCCTCCCGGCCCAGGCGCCGAAGCTCGCCGAGCACATGGTGGCGTCGGCAACTGCTGTTGTCGTTGCCTCGCTCGCCATTTTTTATCCGCAGCTCGACGACAAGCTTGCCGCGCTTGCCGCGCTCCTCACAACGCCGCCTGGCTCGCTGCCCGCGCCCGGGCCGAGCGATGCACGACTGGTCCCGGCACTTGCGGGCACTGTCATCTTTGAACTCGTTGACGCTATGGCACTCCCGGATCTTGCTGCGTCCTCCTCTGAGACGACACAGACCGCTGGTCAGGTCATTACTGCTGCAGTCGGTCTGCTCGGGGCAGACGAGCCGGCCATGGCCGAGGCTGCTGAGAAGCTCCTCTGGACCGCCATCAAGGCTGTGCTGCTCGGCATGTCCAAGACCGAGTCTGCCGAGCCTCTGCGCCAGCTCCTTGTCCTCCTCGTTCAGCTCCTCACAGAAGCAACTCGCGAGCTTGTGGCTGACGGGGCGGCGTCGCTGGCGTCGCCGCTGCCCGCTACCGTTCACCTCACCCGTGAGCTCGTGGTCGGACTCTCGTTCCTGGGCAAGCCATTTGCACACATTGCGCCGCTCCTGCCGTCGCTCGAGGCGCTTTACGAGACACTTGTGGCAGCCAAGGCGCCGCCGGCACCTGTTCGCGACACTGTGGTGGCCGTCTCGTCGATGCGGTATGTTGCGTCGTCGCACCCGATTGTTATTTCGTCCGAGACTCAGGAGGACGTGGTGCCTGTCAAGGTGCCCGGAGCCAAGGCGTTGCTGATCAAGTTCCACCGCGCGTCGACGCTCGACTCGGAGGGCCGGTTCTTTGTTACCAACTCACGGAGTGAGCCGACTGCCGGCAAGGACGTGGTCTTCGAGTTTGAGCCGAACCGGTTTCCGCGTGACGGCGTGGTAGTGACCGGCGACGTTGTTAACTTTGTCTACCAGCGGACCATCTTTGCCACTGCCACCTGGGGCTGGCACGCCACCATCTACTCGATCGCAGAACACGAGCCATCGCCTCTCTCGTGGCTGGAAGAGCTCACCGCCGCCGTGGCGCACCAGATCGGGACTGGGCTCGGCCGCATGGTTGTCTCGCTGCCCAAGACCGACCAGGAGCAAACCGCCGCGCGTTGGCTCGATTCGAACCTCATGCGTGCCGGCTCGCTGCGGACGCTCGCCGACATGGACAGCGACTCGATTGCAGCCGCTCTCAAATCTGCGGCACTGCCACCGACACTGCTTGATGAGCTCCCACCGAGTCCCGCAGCGTCGATGCCTATGATCACCCAGGCCTCGCTCTCGCCGTCGGAGCAAGAGTACGTCGACGAGCTGGCTGCGTACCCGGCGCCGGAGGAGCACTCGCCGCTTCTTGCTGCCACGCGCAAGCTGGTGCTTGAAGTGTTGTCGAACCTAGCGGCCGAGGCTTCGCAGATTGCTGTGAGCCGGCGCGCCGCGCCCGAGGTGTATCTCGCCGACCCGCTCTTCTACCCACTCCTTGCACTCTTCCTTGTCCATTCGGTTGCGGTCCCGCGATTCCTGGCTGCCGTGCGAGCGCGAGTTGAAGTCAGCAGCGTCGGCGCAACGGCGTCCGCTGACGACGACGCGAGCGTTGCCGGCGACAAGACCAAGAGCAAGCGGAAGCGGCCGAATCTCTCAGTCCAGATCGCGGCGCCCGGCACGCCGCCGCCTGAGGCTGCAAGCAGCACTGGAAGCGTCGCGCTACCGAGCGACGCGGTGGCCATTATTGCCACTGTCAAGGCGCTGTGCGACACGGCGTTTTTCCGCAAGCGCGAGCTCGGCATTGCGTCTGCTGCGTCACACGAGGCTGGCGGGAGCGGCGACGAGGCCAGCTCATCGGCAGATGCCGACACACTGACGCCGGACCTCATTGCGCGGATCCAGTTTGTACTCTCCATGGCACCGTTTACAACGACGTCGGCTGTGGAGGCCGACGAGCCAGAGACGCCTGCTGTGCCGGCGTCACCTTCGGCGGCGGCCGCCGGAGCTGCGGTGGGCAAGGGCTCCAAGTGGAACAAGCTGCGGAGCTCACTGCGGACTATCTCGATGTGGAAGCGGCTGCGGACGCCGAGCGCAACTGGGCCCGGGCCGGCGGATGGGTCGGCAACGACGCTGACTGCGCCGACGGCCTCGGCTGTGCTCCCGTCCACACTCTCGACACTAGAGGTCAACGTGCGCCTATTCCTCTTCTCCGGCTCTGCCGACGATCTCGAGTCGCTGTCGTCGGCGGTGGTGCTGCGTTCTGTCCGCGGACGGATCCGGCTTGCTGCACTTCAGTACCTTGGGCGCCTTCTGAGCCTGTCGCCAATGCCGCCGCCGGCGTCGCACGAGCTTGTGCTCAAGGCTGTGGCCGATGCGTTCCACTCGATGCCGACGCCGTCGTCACGGGCGGTGCCGCATGTACTGGACCACATTAACGGGAGCTCGGCGTCGCTGTCAATGGCGATTGTGCAGGCTCACCAGGCGCTGCTGCAGACGCTGTTCTCGTCACTGCCGCCGGTGAGCGAGCTGTCAGACCTGACGTCGCTCACGCCGCTGCAGCGGATCACGTTCCGTCTGCTCTCGACCGGGATTCGGACGGCGGACCGTGCGTTCATTCTCACCTCGGGCGTGCTAGACTACCTGTGGCAGCTGGCACACAACACGCCGGCAGCAAACAAGGCGACAACGACCGCGGCATGGATGCTCTTTGCCTTCCTCATGCTGCAGTGCGTCGACGATGCGTCGAGCACGAGGAACGAGGCCGGTACTGGGCCACAGCTGGGGCTCTCAGAGCCCGGCTCTTCCGGCTCGTCGGCTGGCCCGTCGCCTGCGGCCTCGACGCCGGTCTCGGAGACGCCGCGGCCAGAGCCGGGCATGGCGGACAACTTTTCACGCGATCCGCGGGCCAAGCTCATCCGCCACATGGGGGTGTGGATCCGTAAGGAGCTCGCGGCACTCGAAGCTGGGGCAACGGCGAGCGATACCCAGCTGTGTGCTGTTGTCTCGTTGATGTACTCGCTGTCACGGTCACCGGCGATGCAGGCACTGCTCTTCTCATCGCAGCTCCTCGCGCTCACGGTGTCGCTCATCCAGAGCGAGGCTGTGGCGAGCGCGACCAAACAGGTTGCGGTCCATGTCCTGCAAGCGCTGCTCCCGCTGGCGCGGCCAGAGACGTTTGTGGCGGCGCCGGTGGCGACGCTCGACGACGCGCTCGAGGCATCGTCGGCATCGTCGGCGTCGGTCAGCGCTGTTCTGGACACACTTTACGCCGAGACTATCAAGTGCGCGCTCGCGGAGCGGTACGGTGCGAGCGCAGTTGCGGCAGCCAAGGGCGCGGCGAAGGGCAAGGAAGTCGAAGACGAGGCTAGTGACGATGTGCGGTCGACGCCGTCGCTCCTCCATGCGCTCGCAGAGCTTTTCCGCTCACTCCTTGCCGGCTCGCCGTTCTCGCGGCATGTGCGCAAGCTGCTGGAGGCGTCGCTGGCAAGCCTGGCTTCGTCTCCTGGCATGGAGCGTGTGCTCGAGCTGGCGAGTGAGGCGCGCGATGTCGAGTCGATGTGCGCAGACGCCGAGCTTACGACGGTCCTGACGATCCTTGCTCCGCTGCCTGAGGTAGTGTATCCGGGTGCGCATGTGCGCATTCTGTCACGGGAGGATGCGTCGACCAAGTACGGGACCGTCATCGACGTGGAGGGTACCGGGGCCGAGCGCACAGCCAAGGTCATGTTCCCGAGCGGCGAGAAGACGATCGAGCTGATGGACGTGCTCACGGTGATCAAGCCTGTTGTGACCGCCAACCACTTTCCGGTGCCAAAGGCGCTGCTCTCGCTGTTTGTCAGTATGACATCTGGTGGGCGGGTTGTGTCATTGGCGGGACTCTGGCTGCGGGAGCGGATTCTTGCGGTGCTGTGTGCTCTGCTTCCGACGACGGAGAGCCTTTCGCGACTGAGCGCGAGCGGGGACAGTGCACAGATTGCGGAGGTGGCCAAGGCGGCACGGGAGCTCGCGCAGCGGCCGTCGTACCTGCCTGCCCGCGAGGTGCAGACGGAGTGGGTGATGCACGCACACGAGCTTTTGCCGACGCTGCACGCCAACGCGGAGAAGGTGCGCGGAAGTGTGGCGCACGTCAAGGGCCAAAAGTCAGACGTGCTTGACGAGGCAACCCGCCTGACATCGTCGGTGGGCATGGCGCCGTCTGACATCTCGAACCTGGGCATGCAGTTCCAGATGATGGACATGGACCACGACGGGTTTGTGACTGCCGACGACATCCGACTGTACTCGTCGTCGCCTCAGGAGGCGGATTCGCTCATTGCAGGCCTGACGTTTGAGAACGGACAGGTCGATGGCCTTCGGTTTGTGGTTGGCCTTGTCAACGCTGCGATTCGTGAGGGTATGGAGACGAACAACTCGTTGTCGTCGCCTGCAGCCATGCAGGCTGCTCTGCAGTCGGTGTTTGGCGGAGTGGCGGCAAGCTCACTGAGTCTTGAGCTCGAGGCGCCCAAGGCGCTGGCGGGCACGTCTGTGGCGAGCCTCCACTCGGCAGGACTGGGCAAGATTGATGTCGGCAAGCGACTGAGCGGGCAGTTTGTGCTTGTGGCTGGCAACAAGTGGGCGCGACCAAGGGAGGCGTGGCGGTGGTGGTATTTGACGGCCACGACACTGCGCCCGAGGCGGAGGCTCTGGGCGCGATTGGCGAGTCTGCAGCCAGCGCCGGTGCGCGGGCAGTGGTGGTCGCTGTGGCGGATCCAGCGAGCTACTCCGAGTCTGGTGCCGTCTTTGATGCGCTTGACCTCAAGGTCCCACTTGCAGTTGTGGACCTTGCTGCGTTCCGCGAGTGCATCAACTTGCTCGAGTTGGGAGCTGCAGCGGCGGAAGCGTCGGCGACGATCGACGAGTCAGCTGTGCTTGCGCCGCTGGTGACAGAGCTCTCGCGGAGCATGGAGGCCGCTAGCTGCGGCGAAGCATGGGCCGAGTTTGCCATGTCTTCGGTCCAGGTCTCAACGACGGCGGCGGATGCGGCGTCGAGCGCCGAACTGGGTGCCGAGTCTAGTGTGATTGCTGACGAGAGCGGAGCCGCGGTCCTGGACGACGCTGAGGCGGAGGCTGGTCGCGAGGTCTCGGCCGAGGCCGAGGCACGAGTCGAGGCTGAGGCCGAGGCACCTGTCGAGGTCGACCCGAGCACGCTTTCGATCGAAGAGCTGGTGAGATTTGAGGGCACCCACTATGTGATCAAGCGGAACCACCTGCTGAATGTAGTGGTGGAGCGCTCTATGCGCGATGCCAACTCGGAGGAGGAGCGAGCGGAGATGGCGGAGCAGCTGCAGGGCATGACCGAAAACGAGCGGATCGATGCGTTTGTCGATGTGCACTCTGACGTGGACGAGGATGGGCGGTCGGCGCTGGAGTTGATGTACAAGCTCTGGTTCATGCCTGGTTCGCAGATCCAGATTGCGGCTGCGCCTGATGTCGAGTCGCGGATGGCCTGTGTGGAGGCGCTGTATGCCAAGGCCTCGCCGTCTGTGCGCCTGGCTGCGATGCAGCGGCTAGCGCTGTTGCGGGTCAACTTTGACGGGCCGCCGGAGGAGGTCATGTCGCTGCTGTCGCGGATGATGGACGAGGAGCCCATGTCTGTGTACGCAACGTTTATGAGTTTGGCGCTGGAGCATGTTGAGGACCCGAACGTCATGTTTGCCACGGTTCTGGTGCCGTTCATTCTGCGGGCCCACACGCCCGAGTCTGAGCTTGACGACGAGACACAGTCGATGATTGTGCGGCTGGCGATGGAGCGGGCTGCGACGTTCCAGCAGCTGGCGACTGACCCGGAGGTCCCGCCTGTTGTGGCGATGGTGCTTGCGACAGATGCGCGGCTGGCGGCGCTGGACCTTTCGTATGCATCATGGCTGGCGCCGGGCGCGATCGACATGGAGCCGATTGTTGGGTTTGTGCAGGCGCACAGCTCTGTGCAGTTCCTCCAGGGTGCAGCCGAGGTGTTGGCATCGCCGCCGACCTGGAATGGGTGCCAGAGCGGCGAAAGCAACGAGCGGGGCGAGGGCGAGGCAGAAGCCGACAATGGCGGAGCTGCAAGCGAAGGAGCTGAACATGGTGGCGCTGGGAGTGTGCGTCGGACCGAGGCTGGGAGTGGCGGTGAGGCTGCAAGCTCGAGCAACAGCGGCACTGACAGCGTGGCACTTGTGGGCGACTCGTGCATGGAGCTGAGCGGGATTGGGCTGGATTCTGCGGCCATTCCGCCGTCTGTGCTCGAGTGGAACGTGCCGATGCGGGTTCGTGTGTCCGGACCGACACCACGACGGCCGGAGGAGGCGTACCTTGAGCTGTACAAGGTGGTGTTTTCTGCCAACGTGTGGGGTGCACGTGAGCTAGCGATTGTGCTTGCGGCACATGAGCACGCGCAGTTTGTGCTCGGCACGTGCGTGTCGTCGACTGCGGCGACAGCCCTCTCGGACGCTGGCGTGGCTCCGATGGAGATTGACGAGTGCGTTGTTCTTGGGTTGGCAGCCATTGATTCCGTTCAGCACCGGCAGGTGGCTACGCGTGTGCTCCAGGAGGGCGGCGATGTGAAGGCTGTGATGGAGCGTGCCGGCTCGTACCTTGGAGCGTATGTGGAGCTTATGCGCAGCGCGCTGCCACCGAGTGTGGCACAGGACGCAGAGCTGGTCAAACGGCACGGTGAGAGGGTGGCTGTCAGCTCTAGCGGCATCCGGTCGGCCTCGACCGGGGCGGGCATGGCGCAGTTTGGCTCGCCGCTCTCTGTGGCGAGCCCTGTGTTCCGAGTCACGCTTGTCGACCGCGGTACCGAAGGCGCTGTGGGAGTGGGCGTGGCATCAGCCGACTACAACGTCAAGGCGTACCCGGGATGGGAGCGCAACTCTGTGGCGTACCACATGGACGACGGCAAGCTGTTTGCCTACACGGGACCGGAGCGGAAGCTGACCAAGTTTACGCCGACGCGACGGGTTGGATCGGTTGTGTACTGCGGACTCGAGCTTGATGAGCAGGGTGAGTTCAGCGGAACGCTTCGGTGGGTCCTTCCGGACGGGACGGAGATTAAGCACGCTGTCGGCAGTGGGTGGGAGCATCTGTACCCGACGGTCGCGGTGACGTCTGGCGAGGCTGTTGTGGCTGAGGCGCTGGAGCAATGGCCAAGTGCGGAGGAGCTTGCTGCGGAGCGGTCAGCGAGGATGCCGCGGTACGCGGCCGAGTCGATGTCGTTTGTCGGGCCCAACTCACGGGGGATCCATGCTGTGGAGCTTGATGGCGCGAACGGCGGATTCACGCTCGTCTCCTTTGCGCCCGAGGTTAACGTTGAGGGCGGCGCGCTGGAGCTGTTCCAAATGCAGGGGAAGGATCGGTCGACCGCGAGCGCGTCGCAGCGGCTCCTGCTGGAGGTCGAGGGTGCCGGCGGAGCGCCGTCGACGGCGTCGACTGACGTCACGTGTGGTGACTTTATTGACGTTGTGCTGCCGTGTGCCGGATTTGAGTACAAGCTGCCTGTGGCGAAGACGCGCGGTGCGCCGCAGGGCTTTGCCTTTGAGGCACTGCTCTGCGAGTCGTCGGCGATGGACAGCGCGCATGTGACGCTCCCGACTGGCAAGGGCGCGCTGTGGCTGGCGGCGAGTGCGGTGGCGTGTGCCGAGGCGACCGGGACGACGTTTGCGGACGTGGCAAGCGTGGGTAAGGCAGTGGCCTTTGCGCGAGTTCTCTCGCAGGCGGCACGGCTTGCACCGGGCTCGCTTCAGCGTGAGCTGTACTTTGTGCTCGGCAGCGTGGTGACGCATGTCGGTGGCCTGCCTGTGGCCGGCCGGCACGGGAGCTGGCTGACCGAGCTGGCGGCGGAGCTTGAAGCGGATGGTCTCTCGAGCGGCCTGGGCTCGATGACCCCGAGCGCGATGTTGCAACGAAACCTGCAGGCCAAGGCCGAGCTCGCGCTTGCGCTCAAGACGCTTGCAGCCGAGGCGCCGACGGTTGCTGAGTACGAGACAGTCGGCGCGAGCAACGTGGCACGTGTCGTTGTGATCGATAACCAGGTGGCGTGTGAGCCCGCCGGCAGTGTTGTGCGTGGCGATGGGCTCGACGTGGTGTTTGAAGTTAGCTGCAGCGAGGCGTGGACAGTGTTCGGGGCCGAAGTCGAGGAGGGATCACGCGTTGTGGTTGTGGTCGCGTCTGGCAGTGGCCGGGTGACCGTGCACGAGGCGACTGGACTGGGCGAGGTGGCCAGTGGCGAGTGGCCAATCGAGTGCGAGAGTGCGTCTGGCTGTGTTGCGGTGCACGAGACTAGCGTCGAGAGTCTGCCGCGCAGCGTGAGCAGCGGATGGGTGGCGGCACGTGTGTGCGGCGGGCGGCGGGCGCTTGCGCTACAGGCGTTTGTAGGCGTGGAGCGCGTGGAGGCCGCGCTCGCGCGGCTGGACACGCTGCTCGAGCAGGCTCCGCTGCGGCTGCTTGAGCTTGTGAACCAGGTTGTGACGCTAATGCGTGCGCGGGTCTCGCGCGAGGTGACACGGACGGACATGGGCAACAGCGAGCTTGTGGCCAAGGCGCTGACCGGGCTGCCTGGCGATGCCGCGCTGGAGCTCGAGGATCTTCTGGGCAGCGCGGGCCACGCGGGACTGGAGGCGCTGTTTGAGATTGTGAGCGCGGCGAACGACGTGCTTGGGTCTGTGGTGCCTGTGGCAGACCTGTCGCGCAAGCGGCAGCTCTCGGGCAGTGCGGCGCGGGTTGTGGAGACGACCCGGCAGCTACGCGGGGTGCTGTTTGAGTCGACCAAGTCGCAGCTTCTCTCGGCGGCGCTGGCTGCGTCGCGTGAGACGGAGGAGGCGGGCAAGGTGACGATCAACCGTGGGCACTCGCTGAAGGCGCGCGAGGCGATCAAGCTCGGCAAGCCGGTTGACCCGATGAAGAGCGTGCTGGGGCAGCTTGTGCCGACGCTGCTCTCGAGCGCAGCGGCGCTTCGCACCAACGGGCGGGCGTGGGTGGTGTCGTTTGTGGGCGAGGGCTCACAGGACGGCGGCGGGCTGTACCGCGAGTCTATCGCGATGATGTGTGAGGAGCTTGCAGCAGGCATGTTTGGGCTGCTTGTGCCGTCGCCCAATCAGGTGCACGGCGTGGGCTCTGGTCGCGAGAACTTTGTGGTTGCGCCCAAGTCGAAGCTGAGCGTGAGCGACATGGTGGTGTGCACCGCGCTGGGGCGGCTCATTGGGCTGGCGATCCGGTCGGATGAGAAGCTCGACCTCATGCTCCCGTCGCTGTTCTGGAAGCAACTGGCAGGCATCGAGCCGGACGCATCGGACGTGGATGCGATCGACACGGTTGTGGGGACGATGATTTCGTCAACGCAACAGCTTGCGGAGACAGTGGACTCGACCGAGGCGTTTGTGAGCGTGTTTGACGAGCGGTTCGAGACAACGCTCTCCGACGGCCGCACTGTGGAGCTTGTGGAGGGTGGGAGCGAGGTGCAGCTGACACCGGAGCGTGTGCCGGAGTGGACCGAGCTTGTGCTTCAGGCACGGCTGGGCGAGTCTGTGCTGCCGACGGAGATGATCCGTGCAGGCGTGGCGGCCGTTGTTCCGCTCAGCATGCTGGAGCTCTTCACGTGGCAGCAGGTGCGGGGTCTGGTGTGCGGAGCGTCTGTCATCGACCTGGAAGTGCTCAAGGCGTCGACAGTGTACATCCAGCTGTCCGAGGCTGCGCCGCGAGTGGTGCACTTTTGGCGGGCGCTGGAGGACTTTACGCAGGAGGAGCTGCGGATGTTCCTCCGGTTTGTGTGCGGGCGGTCGCGAATTCCCGCAATGCCAAGAAGTTGCCGCAGTCGCTCAAGATCGAGGCGGCCAAGGGCGGGGCCGGTGCTAGCGATGAGAAGGACCGGGCGCGGCAACAGGATGCTGCGCTGCCGACGGCGCGGACATGCTTCTCGCTTTTGTTCCTGCCCGACTTTTCGTCTTGGGAGGTTGCGGCGTCGCGACTCCGTTATGCTATCCGCAACTGCGTGGCGCTCGACGGCGACTTTGTGACGCGCGACGATCTCGAGCTGTAGTCGCCGTAGTCTGGGTTGTTTACGGCTTGGGCTTGTACGTCCACCAGAAGTTGATGGCGATGGACTGCGAGTCGCGGCCGGCAAGCGATGAGACGTGATGGAACCAGGAAGAAGGGAGGTAGAGGACATGGCCTGGTGCGAGGTAAAGTCGACCGGCTGGAGGTTTGCGGCGCGCGGGAAGCGGTTGGTGTCAACGTCGTACGGGTTGCGGACGGCAGCAAAGTGCGGGAAGAGCGGCTCCGCGCGGGTGTTGGGGCGGGAGTAGCGGATCTTGCCGGAGGTCCGGTCAAAGGCAGCCATGTTGCCGAGGGGGTAGAGATCGAGGGCGGCTGTGGGGGGAAGACGCGGAACGCCTTTTGGCCGCGAAGGAGAATGTACATGTTGTCGCGCTCGTCGTTGTGGAGCGACGAGTTGAAGACAACCGACGGCGAGGTGGCGTAAGCGGCCCAGACGTTGACCGAGGCGACGTCTGCACCGAGGGCATCGGCAAGGAGCGGCGGGACGGGAAAGTCGGCCTCAAAGGGCGCAAGAAGCGGCGAGTACTTGCCGTGACCGGTCTGTTGGACATTGAGGTAGAAGAAGAGCTCGTCGAGGCGGCCGGACGAGTCGGTGAGCATGTCGAGGTAGGCAGACATGGGCATGGCAGCCATGATGGAAGCGAGACCAGAGATGGGCTCGTTGAGCGCCGAGGTCTGGACAGTGACGGTGGTGTTGCCGAGGGCGGCGGCCATGGCGTGGGTGTCTAGCTCGGTTGCAGTGGCCGAGTTCCAGCCGAGCGGCGCAAAGTCAGGCGAGCCGTCGGACACGGTGGGAAGGGCCAAGATGGCCGGCTTGCGGGTGGCGACATGGTTGGCCACAAAGGCGTCCATGTCGGCGCGGGTGGTGGGGAACGGCAGTGTTGGCGGCGTCCAGCCGGGTGGCGGGACAAAGCCAGTGTAGGCGGCGAGGTCGGCAGCGTCGACGGCGTGCGGCCGCTGCGAGAAGCGCGGGAGGCCGAGTGAGCCGACGGCGTCCGGGTGGCGCTCGGCAATGATGCCAAGGAGCGCGTGGGCGTAGGCGTGGTGGGCATCGACGGCAAGGAGCTCGTGGAGGGCGTCGACAGCGTCGTCGGGCTGGTGGAGGGCAAGCGAGACGATGGCCTCGGACCACTTGGCCATGAGGATGTCAGGTGAGGCCTCAAAGACAGCGCGAAAGCCTTCGAGCGCCTGCTCAAAGTCACCCAGGGCCATGAGGGTGGCAGCGAGATCGTAGCGGGCGACCGGGTCGTCTGCGTCGTGACCAGCGTCAGGCTCGGCCTCTGCGCGACCGCCGAGCAGGTCGAGGTAGCGAGAGAGGGCAAAGACCTTGTCGGGTGATGGCGTCGAGGCGTAGGCGTACATGCGATAGGCATCGATGTGGAAGGGATCGTTAACAAGAATGGCTTGAGCCAGATCGCGAGCCTCGAGTGCATGGCCAGAGCGAAGGGCAATGTCACCCAGAGCATAGAGCGAGGGCACGTGAGCATTAGCCTTTGCCACGATGGCCTCAAAGCCCTTCTTTGCCTTTCCCAGCAGCCATCGTTCGCCGCGATGGGCCCGAATGAGCAAGGCCTCTGCGGCAGCAAACTCAGCCTCGATAGCGGCCATGTCTTCCTCCGACAGCTCATCACGGTTATCGACACCAGCATCATCAGTCATGTACCTGCCACTGTCCATAACATCCAGCTCGTCAAGTGTGTCACCGCTGTCGGAGGCCTGGTCAGTAGCCTGGTCAGTAGCAGCTGCTGGCAGAGTGCCCGTGGCGGAGACGGCGAGGGCGAGGGCAAGGGCGAGGACGAGGGTGAATGCAAGGGCGAGGGCGGGGGCGAAAGGACGGGTGCTGTGTCCTCGGTTCATGGCGGGTGTATGTATGTATGTGTATGTATGTGGGTGGATGGGTGTGGATGGGTGTGGATGGGTGTGCGGGTTGGTCGAGGTGCTGTCGCTGACCTCGTCGCTGGTTGCGTGTCGCAGTGGCTCTCGGCTCGGTCGCTGCGCGCATGTGACGTCTGAGGCCGGTTCCATCGGTTTTTGTGGGAGGTGGGGAGATGGGGGGTTTTTTGGGGGTATATTATCGGGGAGCGGGTCGGGGCGGGGGCGTTCAGGTGTTTATCACAGAGTTGGGAGATGGGTGGGCATCTCGATGGCATCGCCGAGCTCATGGAGCTCGGTACCCTCGTTGTGCAGCTGGTCCCAGACTTGGCGGTTGGAAGAGACGCCGTCGACAAGGGGGGCGAGCTCTGGAACAAGATCGGCGAGGGCGGTGTAGGTGGGCGCAGCGACGTAGTCGATAAAGCCGAGCTCGAGCTCGGGGATGTTGGCGACTTCGCGGTCCATCATGGGGATGGGAGTGATGCCGGTGGCCTTCTCCTCGTCACCCTGGGCAAAAAACTCTTCAAAGATGGACATGGTGACCGGGTGCTGGATGTCCCACGGCTTGGTCGACGCCGACAAATCACAGGCCGAGATGATGAGCGCCGAGAGCATCTTACGGTGATGATCGTTGTGCACATTGTAGCAGCCCGAGTCGGAGCCGAGAAGCTCGAGCTTAAAGGCGGCGAGGTTGGGAAAGTGGCGCTCGAGATCGGTGGCCAAGATGACGTGCTTCATGTGCGAGAGGACCTGGGAGTACGTCGCCGAGTCGAGCGAGGAGAAGATGTTGGTCGACTCGTGGCGGAGGAGGAGCATGGTGTGGGAAAAGTGATGGCGCTCCATGACGGACGAGCCGTAGAGCTTGGCGAGCGGCGACGACTGCGCCTTGTTGAACGCGTTGTTCTTGCCGCGATGGTCGATGTCGTGGCAGAGGGTGGCCACCAGCATGGAAAGCACCTCATGCGGGAGGAGGAAGCGCGCAATGGGCATCGTCCGCGCCATGACGTAAAAGGTGTGCGCGACTGAGAGGGCGTGCCACCAGTTGTGGTACGGCACTTCGTCGCGGTAGTTGCGGCAGACGGTGATGACAAAACGGCAGAGGACCTCGTACGGTATGTCAAACTGAGCAGGCAGGTCGAGGTCGAGGAACATGCGGACGACAAGCCGGAACGAGGCCTGCACCGCTTCGGACGCCCGAGCGCCGACGTGGGCCATGGCCGACGCCTGTCGCGCGCCGGACGCCGCGGGGTCCAGCCCATCAAGAGCGAGTAGCCGCCGCGGCGACCACTCAAAGCTATCCATGCCTGCAAAGAGCTGCGAGTTGGCATCCTCGATGGTCGCCGCCACAAGACGCGCCACCTCGTCCTCATTGGCGGTCAGATGGTACGAGATGAGCTCGAGCGCAACCTTGTGACGCTGCTCCGACTGCTCGACACGCTCCATCATGGTCGCGTTGTGGAGCGCAATGCCACAGAACATGGCAAAGCCGGCGAGCAGATGCTCGTCAGACGCCGAGAACGGGACCGGGCCGCCGGCGCTGGAGCGCGGGCACTTGTTGACCAGCTGCGCCACACCCAAGAGCTTACCTTCCTGGTCGAGGATGGGCGCGCAGAGAATGGATCGGGTCCGGTACCCGGTCCGCTTGTCAACCTCGGGGTTAAACCGCGGGTCGGCGTACGCGTCCGGGATGTTGACGAGCTTGCCGGTCGACGCCACTGCACCGGCGATGCCGGCCGTGATCGGGAACCGGATCTCGGCGCCGTCGCGGACAAGCCCCGCCGACGTGGTCGACGCTCCGCCGCCGAGCGCCGGCGAGGCAGAGCTGTCGGCGCCATTGGGCGAGCCAAGCGTCTCAAAGACCTTGGCGTAGAGCTCCTCGTCGTCTTTGAGAAAGACGGAGCAGCCGTCGGCGCGGAGGAGTCGGCGAGCGTTGGTGATGATCTTGGCGATGAGCTCGTCGGGCCGGAGCTCGGAGAAAATGTGCTGGATGACATCAAGGAGCGCGGTTGCGTTCTCTTCTGACTCTTGCACCTTTTCCATGAGCAAAGCCGTCTGCGTCGCTGACCGCCAAGAGACCGAGACCCGCCGCTTCTTCTCGGACATTTCCTTGGCAATGATGCGCTCAAAGATGGGACCGATGTGGCTGGCGAGGAGCGAGATGTCGGCGATCTCGAGCTGTGAGAACGGGGTCCGCTCGTGAACATGGACCATGTAGATGACGCCGACTAGCCGCGAGACCGGCGGCGCGCCCGAGGTTGACGGCACGTGCTCAAAGACTGGCACAAACATCATGGCCCGCGGCGACGCCTCGGTCGGCAGCGGATCATGGAGACCGTAAAAATCCGAGTTAGCGTCAAAGGCAGGGTGAGCCATCGGTTGATCAACCACCACCGGCTGACGGGTCCGCATGACCTCGCCGACGATGCCGGCGTCAAGCTGCCACTTGGTTGGGCGAAAGGCGGTCTTGACCGGAACAAGCCCGCGCCGCGGGCGCGAGTAGTAGAACGCCGCCACAGCGCTGGCGCGGCAAAGTGAACGGACTGCGCCGGCGAGCTTGGCGTGGAGCTCGAGGCAGGTCACCGACGTGTCGATGGTCGACACTGCCGAGAGGTGGGTGACCTCGGCCACAAGCTGCGGCTGTGACGCCAGCCACTGCTTGACCTCAACAACAGACAGGCCAGCCTCCGAGTCTCGAGGAACCGGCAGTGCCCTCATGGAGCCATCGTCTGAGTGGATCACATCCGAGTACAGATCATCGTCTCCGCCCGAGTGCGAGGAGGCAAACGATCGTTCATCATCACTGTCATCGTCCTCGCCATCCGAGGGCGGAATGATATCGACGAGAGGCTCGGACTTTTGCATGGGCTTGGACTCGGGCACGGACTCGGGCTCGGGCTTGGGCTTGGACTCGGGCTTGGGCTTGGGCTTGGGCTTGGGCTCGGGCTTGTAGTTAGAAGTGATGGCAGAAGTCGGTGATGATGGCGATCGAGATGGGTTAACGATTTGGTCATGGGCATGGCCCTGGTCTTGGGCATGGGCATGGTTATGGTCGTGGTCGTGGTCATGGTCCTCGGGAGATGAGGCCATGAGGAGGACAAGGAAGGCAGCGGCAAGGAGGGCGGCCGAGTGGGCGAGACTGGCGGTGGACGAAGAGAGCAGAGGCGCCAGGGCAAGGCCCGTGAGAACGGCCGAGAACGAGGTGAGGAACTGGGACAGAACAGCCATGACGGGGGGCTGGTGGCGAAGGAGTTGGTGGTGTGGGTGGGCGGGGGGGGGGGGGGGGTGGTGGTGGCGGGGTGAGGTGGCCGGTGGTGGTGGCGCTGTTGCGGAGCACGAGC